CTTTAGATGGTCTCTAAATTCAGGAAGGATATAATCAAAGTCATATTGTGGACTTGTTTTAATTGTCTTCAGCTTCAACTTGAACTTGCATATGAGTAGTTGATGGTCTGCTCCACAATCAGATCCTGGCCCTGTTTTGGCTAAAGATATTGAGCTTCTCCATAGGCTCTTTCCATAGATGTAGTCAATCTGAATCCTGTGTACTCTGTCTGGTCAAGTCCATGTGTATAGCCACCATTTGTGTTGTTGAAAAAAGGTATTTGCAATGAATAAGTCGTTGGTCTAGCAAAGTTCTATCATGTGATCTCCAGCATCATTTCTATCACCAAGCCCATATTTTCCACCTACTAGTGACTCTTTTTTGTCTCCAACTTTTTCATTCTAAGCATCAGTAATAACCAACACATCTTGATTGCATGCTTGGTCAATTTCAGACTGCAGAAGTTGGTAAAAATCTTCAATTTCCTCAGCTTTGGCTTTGGTGGTTGGTGTGTAAATTTGCATAATAGTAGTATTAACTGGTCTTCCTCTTAGGTGTACTGATATTATGCTATCACTGGAAGCATTGTACTTCAGGATAGATCTTGATACATTCTTTGTGATAATGAATATCATGCCATTCTTCTTCAAATAGCTTTAGAATTAAAATTGTTTAAGTATAAATTATAAATACAAGGTATCATGAAAATAAATAACAGAGAACTTAATCTAGATGTAGAAAGAATTGAAAGAAGACTGAAAAAAAGACCTTCTGAGAAAATTATATGTAACCTGAGTCTCAAAGGCAAAAAGCTAAAAGCTTCATTATTATTATTATTACTATTTGGAAAAGAGAGATGACTAAAGTAACCTGACAAAGTGAGCAAGGAGGAGACTGGGGGGGGGGATACAGTGAGAGGAATGAGGTTTTAAGCAGGACCTGAAACCTTCCTAAAGATTTTGAACAATCAGAAACAAGAGTGACATGATCACATGTACACTTTATAAAGATGACTGGATTATTCTATGAAGAACAGTTTTGAGGAAGAAATAACAGTTGACATTGGAAGGCTATTTGAAGGCAATCCAGAGGGGAAGTGATAGCATCATTTTAGAAAAGACAGTGACAGATGAAGAAAAGTGTCCAAAATGAGGTTATTTTGGACATAGACCAAAAAAGAAAACATAGCAATGAATTTAATGTAGAAGAAGGGACATGCTGTGTGGAAAGAGCAACCAGCTGGAAGCAAGCAAAGCAGTGGGGAAACTGAAAGTGGAAAATATTTTTTCTGAATCATCAGAATAGTAGTACCAAACATATTAAATGTGAGATGCCTATAGAATATCCAAATAAAAATGTCAAGAAGGCAGTTGAATATCTAGGTCTGAAGATCACAAGAGATGGCTGGGAAAGATGTATTTTTAGGAGTCATCTATATAGACATAAGACTTAAATGCTGAGAATGCATAGAATCATCTAAGGAAAGTGAAAACAAAGCATAAAAAATAGGGCCTGAAACCAAGATTCGATAAACACCAACATTTACTCCTCAGTTAGAAGAGTCAGTAAAAAGTTTGGTGATAATATGAGGATTGAGAAGGTATGAGGAAATGTAGAGCATTGTACAGTCATGAAACTCAAGAAAAGAGGTTATATCAAGTGTGATTATGTGCAAAGATAAGAGGTCATGCCCATTGAATAAATATCCGTGGTATTTATTAACCTGAAATGGTGACTTAAAAAAGAGAAATTTCTGTGACAGTAGTGAAGGAGGAAGGGTAGAGAATAAATGAACGAATAAAAAATTGTTGCACATACAAATATTTACAATAGTTTGTTTTGGTGTTATATTCAAGCATATTCAAAATGAAGTGATAATTCATAGGAGCTCAAGTAGTTTTCCAATAGAAATAGCATTTGAACTGAGTCTTAAAGACTTATAAATAATTCACTGATGTAGAAGGGTAAAGAGGACTATTCTGGTTTAGATAGAAGAGCATTTATCAACACTGAGCATTTAACAATAACAGCAATACCAGTCATAGTGATAGAATTTGTACTGAGTGGTCACCATATTTCAGAAACTGTTCTAAAACCTTTACATGTGTTAATTCAACTAAATTGCAAAATCAAACTTTTCTTCTGCTTTCACTATCCTCACCATTTTCTCTTGCCTAGACAAAAGCCTTGAAGCTCATTCTGTTCTTGCCTTCTAGTATATTCTCAGAGCAGCTAAAGTGACCTTTGTAGAATGAATGTCAACACATGACATTCTTCTCTTTAACTCTCCAATGACTTTTCCATTCTCTCAGAATACAAACCACAGTCCTTCCCATGGCTTGCAAAACCCTTCATAATCTGGACTCCCACTGCCTCCTTGACCTCATATTTTTTCTCTCTACCATTGTGCTTCTGCTATACTGACATGCTAGATGTTTCTCAAACATCAAGCACCCTTCCACTTCAGAGCCTTTGTACTTGCCATTCTTTATGCCTGGAAAGCATATACTTGGATATCCCACATGACTTCTGTTCAAATATTATCTAATCAGCAGGTCTTTCCCTGACCATCCCAAATCTTCCAGCTCCATTATTCTCTCTATCCTTTTTCTCCATAATATTTACCATAATATTATACACTTTGCAATTATTTGTTTGTTTCTTGCCATTCCCACCTAGATTGGAAAGGGAACTACATGACAGCAGGAACTTTGTTTCTTCTGTTCACTGGTATATTCCCACAGATGAGACAGTACCTAACACATGTCAAGATCTGCAAGCATCTGACACCTTCCTTTACTTGAAACCTAACCAGTTACCCTCCCAAAATTTAGTGAACACTGACAGAAAACAGAGACTCCTGGGTCACAGAGAAAAGTTATTTCTTCAATAGAAATACCCAGAGTGTTAGCACTGTGCTGGCTCCCCAAGTGGGCCAAGTGATGCTTGTACAGAAAACGTGATGTGTTACAAGAGAACACCAAGCACTTTAAAAGCCTAAATCCCACATAAGCCTTGCTCTGGAGAAATGTTTTATTTTTATTATGTTGTTAGTATTATATCTTTCATTATCAAATTATTTTCTTTATAATTTTTGGTGAACTAATGTGTTTTCACTGATAGAATGCATGTGGAATCATTGAATGTTGGTATCTTTTGTTTTTTATGACAAATTTTTATAAATATTATGTGGTACACATATATACCAGTGTAACTCTGGAGGTAAGATAGGTAGAATGAGGCAGGGAAGAATTGTTTTGCCCTTATCATATTTATTTTTATTATTTTGTGAATATTTGAAAACATGGGATAGCATATGAAGGCACCCTGCACTGGCTATCCATAATTGTTCAAAAGCTCAAGCAGCAAAAATTGCAAATGGTGCCTATTTGTACCTGTGGTCATGAAGTAAGACAAGGACATGTGCTTATACAGTATTTTGCCTGAAAATAACATACTTTCTTGACTATTACCTAATGCTGGAAAGCCCACCCTCCCAATAGCACAAAGGAAAGAGTAAATATAATTACAAGCCTCATGTTGATGTACAGGAACCAAAGAGACAATAGTTTCACAGAAGATCATGGCCAAGATGCACCACATCATACAACTATCTCTCACCACAGCAACATGGTTCTGATGTATTTTATTTCATTTTACTCAGTCATGCACATCACTGCCCTGACACCAACAGGCATTATAAGTGGCACAAAAGTACCAATGAATGCCAGAGTCAGAAAATGTAACTGGTCATTATATGAATCAGTGGTCAAGAAAGGTCATAACCATCCCATGCATAATGCTGCCAGTCCTGTGCCATCTTCATTATCAGTTGCAGATTAGATTTTTATGATCCATGGAGTTTTCTCTGACTGATTTTCAAAAGTAGATCACAAGGTTCTTCTTCTTAGTCCATGTTAGTGCAGAATAAATTTTCCCCCAAGTGAAACATTGTAGATGTTTTATACACACACACACACACACACACACACACACACATATATATATATGTGTGTGTGTGTAATTGATACTCTTTTTTTGAGTTAGGAGCTCTGGTAGCATAGTGCTTAAGGCACTTGACTGCTAACCAGAAGACTGGCGGTTCAAACCCACCAACCAGTCCTCAGAAGGGTGGTTGGGCAATCTGTCTCTATTTTCAGAAGACTAAATTGAGGAACAGCAAAAATTGATTAACTTTCCAAGAACATTAAAGTTAGTAAGTGCCTCCAGCATGTACATTTAAGGAACGAGTCCTCCCTGTCTATAAGCTCTGGTGGTGTAGTGCTTAAGGCATTTGACTGCTCACCAGAAGGTTGGTGGTTCAAACTCACCAGCCACTCTGTGGAAGAAAGACTGGGAAATCTACTTCCGTAAAGATTTACAGCCTCAGAAACCCAAATGGGGGGGTCACTATGAGTCGGAATCGACTCAATGGCAGTGAGTTTGGTTTTGGCTTTTGTCTCTAATGTGTCTCTCTGTTAGCTATCTTAGGCTTTGTGAATGGGTGACAGAAAAAGAGAGAGTGGGAGAACAAGGAGAATGAAAAAAGGGTAGAGCTGGGAAAAAACAAAGGAAAAAAGAAGAGGGATTTTTAGACACGTACTTTATCATATACCCAAAACTACAAACATAATTTAAACCTACTAAATATAGTTTACACCTTATAAGTTCACTTACAGATGAGAAAACTGGATGTCAAGAAGGGGAGGGCCTTCCCATAATCATGGAGGTTGTTAAGGTTAGAGCTAATTAACCACCAGACATGCTTTGCTGAAAGAATCTTAGTTTGGATATTTCAGACACACACACCCAAAACTTTTCTACACAGGTGTTGTTCCTGGAACCTGGCAGCCAGGCTATGACATGGAGTTAATCATTACTCACAGAGGTCTGTGACACAGAGCAGCAGGTGGGGCCTCTGTTGCTGTCCCACATATATGACCTTCCACTCCCAGGGTTCTGGAGAAAAGTGGTAAGCTCCTACAGTTTTCAACTAAGCTCTGGACACAGAACTTCAGCCATGAAGACAACAAGTGTCTTTCTCCTGACTGCCTTGGCCCTGTTCAGTTTATCTGGTAAGTATCTTTGCAAATTTTTTCTGATTTGAGTCAAAACTTTATTTTATTTATTTATTTTATTGTGATTTGGGTGAAAATGTACAGAGCAAATACACTTTATCTCATGACATTGACCACAATTTACCACAATACAACAGCTGCCCTCTCACTTCCCCCCCCCATAGTTACTTCTTCCTTGTGTCCATCCCTCTATTCACTCCTGACCCCTGAGCTGTCTCCCTGTGCATAAACAGTCCTTTTTTCTCCCATGATTGTTCTCTCCAAGGAGTGTATCTACCTCAGATAAATGTTCAACTCATAAGCCTGTCTTTTGCTTGGCTGGAAGTTACAGGTGTGGATTCAATTCCAGACCTGAAAGGCAGCTAAGGGCCATAGTCTCAGTGGTTCCATCAGGCTCTGTCAGACCAGCAAACCTGCTCACCACCACCCCCTTTTTTTTTTTCAAATGATTTCAAGTTTTGTCCCACATTGTTTTCTCTCTCTATCCAGGATCTCCTACATAGATCTCCCTCTGAGTGGTTGACAGTGGTAGCCAGGCACCATCTAGTTCTTCTGGTCTCATAGTCATACAGGCTGAGAATCGCATGGTATACCAGTTGCTGGGACTAATTGTTTTCATAAATCTGGTTTTCTTCATTCTCCTTTGCTCCGGATGAAGAGAGACCCATCATTGCATCTATATGGCTGCTTGCAAGCTTTTAAGATCCCAGTCACTACTCACCAAAGTAGAAGGTGGAAAATGTTTTGTGTAGTATGTTATGCCAATTGAGCTTGATGTCCCCTGTGACTATGGTCCCAAGGCCACAGGTTCAACTATTTTGTC